CTAGGAGACTGAACCCTCGCCAGGCGCGGTGGAATATGTTTTTGACCCGGTTCGTATTCAAGATCACGTACATCCCTGGGTCACAGAACGGTAAGGCAGACGCACTGTCTCGGCGGTATGACACGGAGGAGAGGTCCGTGGAGCCCACTCCCATACTGCCGGAGTCTTGTCTGGTGGCACCGGTAGTGTGGGAGGTCGATGCTGAGCTCGAGCGGGCGTTGCGCACCGACCCTAGTCCACCTCAATGCCCGGAGGGTCGGAAGTACGTTCCGCTCGAGGTTCGGGATCGATTGATCTATTGGGCTCACACGTCACCCTCCTCTGGATATCCTGGTATAGGCCGGACAGTGCACTGCCTTAGTGCTAAGTACTGGTGGCCCACGTTGGCGAGGGATGTGAGGGTTTATGTCTCCTCCTGCTCGGTGTGCGCCCAGTGTAAGGCGCCTAGACATCTGCCTAGGGGTAAGTTACTACCCCTGCCCGTTTCACAACGACCATGGTCTCACCTCTCGGGGGAATACTACTATACTGGTCGTTGTGGACCGGTTCTCTAAGGCCTGTCGTTTGCTCCCTATGCCGGGCCTTCCTACTGCCCTACAGACCGCCGAAGCGCTATTCACCCATGTTTTCCGGCACTACGGGGTACCCGACGATATTGTGTCTGATCGAGGTCCCCAATTCACCTCCAGAGTCTGGAGAGCCTTTATGGAGCGGTTGGGGGTCTCGGTGAGCCTCACCTCGGGTTACCATCCGGAGAGTAATGGGCAGGTGGAACGTGTGAACCAGGATGTGGGTAGGTTTCTTAGATCATACTGCCAGGACCGGCCGGAGGAGTGGGCACGGTACGTTCCCTGGGCAGAAATGGCCCAGAATTCCCTACGCCATTCCTCCACTAACCTAACCCCTTTCCAATGTGTGTTAGGTTACCAGCCGGTTCTGGCACCTTGGCAGCAGAGCCAGATCGAGGCTCCTGCGGTGGATGAGTGGGTGCGGCGCTCAGAGGAGACGTGGAATGCTGCACACGTCCACCTGCAGCGGGCCCTCTGTCGTCAAAAGGCGAGCGACGATCTCCACCGCAGTGAGGGACCGGTGTACGCACCTGGTGATCGAGTCTGGCTCTCTACCAGAAACCTGCCCCTCCGCCTGCCCTGTCGGAAACTGGGTCGGCGGTTTGTGGGGCCGTTTAAAGTCCTGAGAAGATTGAACGAGGTGTGTTACAGATTACAACTACCTGTTGAGTATAAAAGTATTAACCCCTCGTTCCATGTGTCTCTTCTCAGGCCGGTGGTAGCTGGCCCACTCCAGGAAAATAAGATCAAGGAGACTCCTCCGCCCCCATTGGACATCGAGGGGGCACCGGCGTACTCCGTGCGGTCCATCTTGGATTCGAGACGTCGGATGGGGGGTCTCCAATATCTGGTGGAGTGGGAGGGGTACGGCCTGGAGGAACGGTGCTGGGTGCCGAGGAGAGACATTTTGGACCCGTCTCTCCTGACAGAATTCCATCGTAGTCACCCGACGCGCCCTGCTCCGTGTCCTCCTGGTCGTCCCCGAGGCCGGAGTCGGCGCACGTCTGGAGCCGCGCGTCAAGGGGGGGGGTACTGTCACGGTTTCGGCCGAGGCTGCCTCTCTTCCTTGCTCGGGCAGGCTTCAGCGTTCGTCGTCTTCGGAATACTAGCTGCCACCGTTGTATGTTTCTATGTTCGTTTGGTCTTGTCTGGATTATGTACACCTGTTGTCGTTTAGTGTCATTAGTGTCCTATAAATTCTCGTTGTGTTTGTCAGGTGTTGTGTGTGATTGTTTCACTGTCGTGTTTGTGCTCTACAGTATACCGTTTGCTCTGTATAGCTTTCCTCCTCTGTTTAGGAGGGGATTGATCGCACATGTTTAGTGCGCCCTTTTGTTTACGCCTGCATGCAGATTTTCTCGCCTCCGGGCTTTTGGCTCGTGGATTTGTTTGTGCCTTCACTAAAGTCTTTTGGACTTATTTTCTGCGTCCTGCGCCTGATTCCAGCACCACACCCACCTACAGCACCTACTGACACTGACTGTCCTCCCAGTCTGCTGGCCTGGTGTAGGATCAGATAGGGCCAAGTAGTGGAATAGTGGTGAGGTTTTAATGGGTGTAGGGTTAGTTGGTAGGGCAATTTTTATTAAATTTTTTCTGTCCTTTGCCCTTCCTTTTTGTGTCACAAAGTGTCATGAATTCACACTCCAGAACAGTAGGCAGAAACACAGGGCTAGATAAGTGAAATAGATGAGTAGGGAAGCTGTGAATGGCCTCACACTCCAATACAGTAGGTGGTGCACCTTTCAGTTAATTAAAAGGGATTGGAGCGAACAGCTTGGCTGCTAGGCATTTGTCTACAACTTGCACTTCTAGAGGCCTAAACAAAGGCTTCCAAAATAGCTGTGATTACAGGGCAAAACAGATCAAATGGACAAGGTTAAATATTCAACCATTAATGGTTTAAGACCCGCCCCTCTGAACTGTTCCCTGTATACATTACATTTTTAGGGAACTACTACCATATCACTTACATTGTTACAGGACTCTCACAAGGCATGCCTTAAAATATGTTCATGAACCTTTGATTCTTCCCCTCCCACAATATTTCTCCACAATGCACCATAATTTACAGTATGCTGCATTAAATATACAGCAAAACAGCAATACAGTACTTTATTGTTAAATTGTATTGAAAAATGATTCAGCAATTGCTAATCAAATCAAATCAAATTTGATTTGTCACATGCTTCGTAGACAACAGGTGAAATGCTTACTTACGGGTCCATTTCCAACAATGCATAGTTAAAGATAAGATACTTTTTTTTTTTTTTTTTTTTTTATAGAAACAGTGACAGAAGAAATAAATACAGTGAATAACTAATAAAAATAACAAGTAAAAATAACATGGCATATATAGGGAGTAGAAAATAACATGAAATTACAGTATACAGGGAGTACCAGTACCGAGTCGATGTGCAGGGGTATGAGGTATTTGAGGTAGCTTTGTGCTGTACATATAGGTAAGGGTAAAGTGACTAGGCAACAGGATAGATAATAGACAGTAGCAGCAGTGTGTGTGTTGGGGTGTCAGTGTGAGTGTGTGGGTAGAATGACTGTTTATTCAACAGGAATAAACTGAATATCAGTAGATTACCGTAAATTGCATTGTGGGAAAAGGCTGGGAATTATTGGATGTATTTTGGACATTACCGTAAATTATGCTACGTAAAACACAGTAGAAGTTCACTTACTCTATTTGTAAATATTCAAAGTAGAATGCCATACAAAAAGCACACGGCAACAAAATCAAAGCTTATCCTCTGAAGCAAGAGAGAAAAGGTTTTAGAAAAATATTATTATTATCACACTGTCTGCGTGGGTGGACCATTTCAGTTTGTCAGTGATGTGTACGCCAAGGAACTTGAAGCTTTCCACCTTCTCCACTGCGGTCCCGTCAATGAGGATAGGGGGGTGCACCCTCTGCTGTTTCCTGAAGTCCACGATCATCTTCTTTGTTTTGTTAATGTTGAGTGAGAGTTTATTTTCCTGGCACCACACTCCCAGAGCCCTCACTGGACGCTTCATACAGAAATGGTGTGTCGATCGGTGTGGAAGAACTTGACTGGCCTGCACAGAGCCCTGACTTCAACCCCATCGAACACCTTTGGGATGAATTGGAACGCAGACTGCGAGCCAGGCCTAATCACCCAACCACAGTGCCCAACCTCACTAATGCTCTTGTGGCTGAATGGAAGCAAGTCCCAACATCTAGTGGAAAGCCTTCCCAGAAGAGTGGAGGCCATTATAGCGATATTAATGCCCATGATTTTGGAATGAGATGTTCATTTTGGCTGATCCATATGTGGTGTCAGGTTGGGTGGAGAAGAGGTTGGGGACTGTTGAGTTGGTGAGAGTAACTCGGAGTGGATTAGTGATGATTTATTGTGCTTCTTCAGTCCAGAGGGCGCGGGCGCTCCAGATAATGTGATTAGGGACAAGAAATGTGACTTGCTTTGCTCTCCGGAGCAGGCCGCCGTTGAAAGGAGTGATAACTGGGGTGGAATTAGGTGTTGAGGATCAGTTGAAATGGAAGATTCCCGATGTCTTTGATGACCACCGTTTGGTGTGACGCAGATCCGGTGGAGAGCGTGGGGAAACTGAGAAGACGTTGTCTGTCCTGTGTTTTGATGTAGAGTCTTTGACCGATAAGGTAAAGTCAGGAAGTGTAAGTTATCTTGTGAGAGATTTTGTTTCTAAAATACTACAGTGTTTTAGGTGTCAAGCTTATTGGCATGTTGCAGCAGTGTGTAGGAGGGAGATTCCTAGATGTGAGAAGTGTGCAGGAGGGCATGAGACAAAGGAATGTGTAGTATCGGTGGAGAAAGTTGTGTTAGCTGTGGGGGTGCCCATGGGGTTGGAGGTTGGAAGCGTCCAATGAGAGAAAGGCAGGTTGAGGTTGCCAGGGTTAGAGTAGTACAGAAAGTGTCATATGCCGTAGCAGAGAAGAGAGTGGTAGAGGAATATGGGTACAGGGTGAGGGATACTCAGCGGATTCCAAGAGAGAGTGATGGGAAGAATATGTGCTTCAGTAAGGTGGGCTTTTTAGCATTCTAAGCCATGCTTGTCAATTGTACTGCAGAAATGTCACAGAAAATAGAAGTTGTGGTGGCTGCGGCAGAGAAGTATTTGGGATTGAGAGGATTTACTGCAGAACAGTTGCAGAGGGTGTTGAGTGGTAGTGTTCTATCCTCTCAGACGGCTGGTCTGGAGTAGGACTAGATAGGGTTAAATAGTGGAATGGGGTAAGTGGGTGGCAGAGCAGTTTTCCTTTTTTCCAATTTGTATTACCATATCAAGAATTTAATCCAGGCAAGCCGTGAATGGCTTTACACACCAGTACAGTAGGTGGCGGTGTATGCACCTAAAAGTTGGATGTGATCTGCCAACCAAATCCTAAAGAAGAAGAACTGTTTTGTTTATGGTAATTTAATGGCAGTAAGTTACTGTAAAACAATGGTAAAATTATGTTGTTGCATGTACATTAATTGAGTGATTAATCCTATACTACATGGTTCTAAACTAATCTAATCAGTTAGCTAGTATTGATGCATCTGTTACTGAAATGGTTGTTCCAGTTTTAAATGGCTTAGGTAGTCACCTCACAATGGCCCATATTGTTGAAGGGTTTCAGAGTAGGTGGGCTGATCTAGGATACGAATTGGATTCATTGTTATCTAAAAGGCCAAACTGATCCTAGATAAGCAATCCTACTCTGAGAAGCTTGATAAATACAGACCAATGTTCCTAACCCTGGGAGTCATTCTGAATGCAAGTTGCAGTTGAATATTCCTACTGTTGGATATCATAACTCTGGTACTATTCTAATAGGAATAACACATCACTTTGCAAACCAGCATAATGTTACTTGCATAATGTTACAAATTCTGGTACCTTCCCCCAAAATCCTCAGATTTTCCAGAAATCCTGGTTGGAAGATTCCTACAGGGTATTTTGGGTGATTTACTGGAATCTTGCTACCCTACTTGCAGGCCTGATGTGGCCTGTAAACCATGAGTTTCAGGCCACTGTAAAATAGTACATCTCTCCAAATAAAGGCCTAATGAAATACATACTGTGGTAAATAATTGTATTTGAATGATTACATATTTGCTTAGGATCTCACTTGTGAAGGCCACGGGACTGAACATGAATGAATGCAACAACCATGTCCCTGTCACTAACAAATACAGTCATGCGTGGTAACTCTACAATTCATTTGAAAGGCAAGGCACTCTGGGAAATATGCAAATAAGGCTTTACAGTAAGAGCATGTTACTGTAAAACGACTACAGTAGCATTATTGGCACTATAAATCAATTACAGTACCAGCATTAGATACTGTAAAATACAGTACGGTAACATACTGTTCCTTTTTTACAGTAACTTACAGGCTGCCAGTAAGTTACTGTAAAAACAACAGGATTTTATTTTAAAGTGTTCAAAAAGTTGTTAGTGCTTTAAAAACACAGAATGATACTGTATTCGGAATTACAGTAAATTACTGGCAGCAATTGGCCAGTAAGTTACTGTAGATTCTCAGGACAAGGTTTGTAGAATGCCCAAAAACACCTGTACATTGCTGTATTCTGTGGGGGTACAGCATTCTCACTTCATCACCATCATCTACCATCCTCTGTCTAGCTCCCTTCGCTCAAGCCATGACCTTGACCCTCTCCATCTCCGGAGTATGCCGCAGTCAAAGACTTGACCTCTATTGGTTGACCTGTCAAGATATATTACTTGTTTGTTTTTTGCTCTTAAAGCGCTCTGAGGTTCTATGAAAAGCGCTATAGATTATTATTATTAATCATTATTAATAAAGTGATGCGGAAAGGCAAAAAAGCACTGCTCTGTGAAACACCTCAGCTACTAAAGATACATCATAAGAATGTTCTAACGATGATGTTAAAGCTATAAAGGCTCTGGGAAATGAGGCCCTTAACCGCTGGGTCATATCTCAGTAACCCAGCATCAACAACCCAACCCTGCTCTTTTTTAATGATAACAACCCAACAAACACTGCGTTTACAAAGGCAGCCCTATTCTGATATTTTTGTTCATTAATTGGTCATTTGACTAATCAGATCAGCTCTGAAAAAGATCTGATGTGAAAAGATCTGATGTGATTGGTCAAAAGACCAATTAGTCGGAAAAAATATCAATATTGGGCTGCCTGTGTGAACGCAGCCTAAGTGACCAATGACTCCCAAACATGGTCCTGGTGCCCCCCACCCTGGGTGCACGTTTTGGTTTTTGCCCTAGCACTACACTGCTGATTTCTTATAACCAACTCATCATCAAGCTTTGATTATTAAAATAATCTGTGTAGTGCTAGGGCAAAAACTAAAACGTGCACCCAGGTGGGCCCCCAGGACCTAGTTTCCAAACAACCCAGCATTATTTAGAGTGAGTGTTACCTGTCCAAAATTGTAATCAGTAACGTAACTTTTAGATTACCCAAACTCAGTAATGTAATCTGATTACATTCAGTTACTTTTAGATTACTTTCCCCTTAAGAGGCATTAGAAGAAGACAAAAAGGGATCTATCAAACGCATTTGGTGTGTCATAGTGGTCAGACTCGCTCAGGTGGAACAAACTTAAACGTGTGCCTTTTTTCAATGCTGAATTGAATGTCATTGAAAAACAGAAAGGTGTCCATGTATTTTTCCCCAAACATCCTTTCTGAATGTAAAATGTATCCATGAAGTAATCATCAAGTTTTTCATAAGTATCTGTACACTCTAAAAAGTGCTGGATTAAAAACAACCCAATTTGGGTAAATATTGGACAGAACACACATTGGGTTATTTTGACCCAGCCAGTTGGGTCACTCAGCTGGGTTGTTGGGTTATTGATGCTGGGTTATTGAGCTATGACCCACAACAGAAGACCACCTGTTATAATATTGAAAGCTGCAATATGTAACTTTTGGGCCGACCCAAAAACAAATCACATAGAAATATGAGTTATAGATATGTCATTCTCATTGAAAACAAGTCTAAGCACTATTTCTATGCTTCTTGTTTTGAAGTTTAGTTTTTGCGATTTTTACTTTCGGTTTTGTACACCAGCTTCAAACAGCTGAAAATACAATATTTATAGCAAATATATTTCATAGCGGTTTAGATGGTAAAATGATTGTCTACACTTATACTTACTTGTTTTGTCTCACAAACTGAAATTAGGCGAACTATTAGAATTTTAGCAACCAGGAAATGGCGGAGCGCTTTCTGCATAGTGCATCTTTAACTAATAATGTTATACATTTTATACTAGATTGTGTAACATGCAAAACTATTAAAGGAAAAGTTAAATTTGCAGTCTAAAAACGAAATATGAAACAGAAATGACATTTACTCTCACAGGTGGCCAAAAATAATAATCTGAAAGCCACAGCTCCAATAGGACATGCCTCCTGAAAATAACCTGATTACCCAAACATTTAGAAAAAAGGTACACAAATACAAAGTATTGATCATTATTATCATATTACAGTTTTAAAAAGTAAGTGGTCCCGCTTTAAATGACGTTCAGCTTATAAAGGCTTCATAAAGTCTTCATAATGCCTTCCTAAGCACTACATACATGTGTTACAAAGCATCTATAACCATATGTCATGCTTTATAAAGGGTTCATAAATGTGGCATAACTGTGTGACATAATCACCAATGTCAAATTTGACATAACCCACTATGTTGAATATGATATAAACGTGCTTTATAAAGGGTGACAGGTTGTGCTGAAGGATGGAACACGCTCTAAAGTGAAGTCATGTTATTCGCATTACACCTGATCTCGTTCCCAGACACTTCCGCCAAAATGTGCGGAAGGTCTGGTGGACCAATGCATCAATCTTGGCCTTCATAAGTTATGGTTAGGTTTAAAGTCAGATTTTAAGAAGAGAAATTGTGGAAATGGCCAGGGTTTAGCCATAATTATGACTTTGTGGCTGTCTTAACTAGTGACGACCAGCGGGGACGTTTTTGCTAGCAAAGGACATGGCCTGATGGCAAACACTTTACTCAGTAAGCTCATTCACATAGAATTCTATGGTCACTCCCACTAATGGCAATTTTGAATGGTTGATATCCCAGGCTTATATGGGCTGTGTGTGCAACAGCCTGGGGATGACACTACACCAAGAAACACTTACCTTGATGGGGCGGCAGGTAGCTTAGTGGTTAAGAGCGTTGTGCCAGTAACTGGTTCTAATCCCCGAGCCGACTAGGTGAAAAATCTGTCGATGTGCCCTTGAGCAAGGCACTTAACCCTAATTGCTCCTGTAAGTCGCTCTGGATAAGAGCGTCTGCTAAATGACTAAAATGTAAATGAAAGCCACCAACGTAAGTAAATTGAAAGTGGCTTTCTTCTGGAACCAAGGTACATGTTCCTCAGTACACAAACACCCACACAACAATGGAACCAGCCATACCACGCAGTGCTGGGCTCAGTCTTTGACACGTTCATCCGGTCCCCCGTTGAAAGATCAGCCACAAAATGTTGGCACCACTGGAACAGGTAGTAATCAAGCCCTGGTCTCCAGCATTGGAACAGAAGAGGAAAACCTAATGTTGTAGTCTCAGGTTGGACTACTCAAAATCATTGTGGCTCTGACACACACACACACACACACACACAAATGGAAGCTTTGCAGTTCCATCAAACCATTTAAATACCTCTCACACCCTACAGTAACCTGTGGATCATGAGAGAACCTTCATAAATTAGCAGAACGTTAATAACCTATTTGTGTGGTGTTTATAAAGGCTTTATCAAGGCTTTATAAAGTGTACGTCATTTAAAGCGGGACCATAAAGGGTCAGTATATACAGTACCAGTCAAAAGTTTGGACACACCTACTCATTCCAGGGTTTTTCTTTATTTTTACTATTTTCTACATTGTAGAATAATAGTGAAGACATCAGAACTGTGAAATAACACATATGGAATCATGTAGTAACCAAAAAAGTGTTAAACTAATCAAAATATATGTTATATTTGAGATTCTTCAAAGTAGCCACCCCTTGCCTTGATGACAGCTAGCTGAGCAGAGTGCTAAATCATCTGGCAAAAGTTCTATATTCAAAAGTAAAACAAATTGTCAACATTTCTATATTGTGAACAACGTTTATTTCGCGTAATCTCTTCTGCCTGGCATTTGCACACTTCTCATAGCCACGTCCATCAGGATTCTTCACTAGGCGCTGTCACATGATGTCAGTGTCAACACATTCTGGGCACATTCCAGGTCGTCATTATTTCAAGCGCGTTTCACAGATGGGCAGATCTCACAAAGTCAGGGGAATTTCTCAGAAACCAGTGTACCACCCCAATAATATGGCTTGAGATCTTGAGATGAAGCCTTCATTCCTGGAATAAATAAGTGTACCAATGCATCATCAGGGTTTCAAATGTGGGGCAAGACACATCGTGGGAGTTGACCATTGGTCTGAAAACCAACCATTTCTGTTCCTGGGACAGAGCAACAATGCGTCACACCCAAAAGTGAGAAAATAATTATTGTTTAACTGTGCAAGCTTTGAAAATAAGGTTGCATGATGATACATAAGGGTTCAATATTAAACACATTTGTAGGTGCATTTATAAATGGTTAATAGCTGGAGGTAAATAGTGGCGCACTATTTGGCAAGCACTGACTGGCTTATTTTTACAAATGTTTTATAACCCATTTATCAATGGTTTATAATGCATTTATAAATGCTTAAATAACCATTAATAAAGTAATTACAAACCCTTTGGAAACCTGTTACAAATGGAATCTTATTGTAAAGTGTTACCTTTGCTGGTAATGTAACAGATTACAGTTAAATCTTTGGTGGTATCACTATCAGATAACATGTAATCAGTTACTCCCCAACCCTGCGTATGTGCTTGTGTGTGCTTGTGCGCATGGGTATGTGTGTGTGTGTGTGTATATTTGCCAAGACCAGTTGAATGTGTTCAGCCCACTGCTGGCTTCAGAGTTGACCTTGAATACCAGGTTCAGATCGAACGTTGTCATTATTTCCCTGTGTGCCATCAGATGGTTATCCGCACAGGGCCTGTGTGCTAATGGCACCCTATGCCCTATGGGCCCTGGTCAAAAGTAGTGCACTATATAGATAATAGGGTGCTATTTGGGACGCACCCATACTGTCCAGCCTAGCAAACAGGCCAATAGGGCTCTGCTCAAAAGTGTAATTGGGGATGTATAAAATGTATTTTTTTATGCATTTTAAAATATATTTGAATGCATGACATACGTTTGTAAATGTATTTGTAATACATACATTTGTATGGAAATATATTATTTGGCCAATTCTTTATTTTTCACGTGCTTAGTTTCTGTTGTGTTACTTACTGCATGGGCAAGGGGCTCTAGACTAGATGTGCAGAGGGAGAGTTTGTGTGTGTGTGTGTGTGTGTGTGTGTGCGTGAGTGTATACAGTATGTGTCTCCAGGTCCTGGGGCCTCATTTATAAACTGTGAGTACGTACAAAATATACCCCAAAATGTGCGTGCGCCAGTTGTCATGCAAAAGTAGGCATTTATTTAAAACAATACTTGACGTGAGAATGCACTCACCTCCCCGCAAACTTTAGACCATGCGTACGCGCATCTGCTAGTGGTTGAAATATTGTACTGCAAGCTGGCAAGTAGGCCTAAGTTTTTTTGTGCAAATGGGGAAAATCTATAAGTTTTATTTGTTTAATCTAAAGTAATTAGACATAGGAATCTTTTCCCTATTTATTTTATTTTCATAACCATTGCAGAATAAATTCCAGAAGGGTCCATACAACAAATGACCATGCGCATCTCTCATTTAATTGGACCTAGTAGCCTAGTAAATGGATAGGCTATATGTATTTCAAGTTTTGCCATATCATAGGCAGCGCGGTTTGAAACACCGTTATACAGTCGAACAGCTGAACAGTTGACAACTTGTACATTGAAGTAGGCATATGTAATGCACTGTAAGTACTGTAATAAATAAAAAATGTAGCCTGCCCTATACAATGTTTCAGAATTCGTGGACAGTCCATCGTATTTAGGTTGGGGGAAAGGTCGATGCAAAACATTGTTGAATTAAAATGTTCTGCTGACAGGTCCACAACCATTTACCATTTTTTTCTCTTTCAGAAACTGACAGTCCTTTTCCAGATACAGCATCAATTACTGCTAAAGATTCAAACATTAAGACAGTAAAATAGAGACAGTAAAATACCCCCTAACGAGAAAAAATTTATAAAATAATATGTAAAATATTATGTAAAATATTTGACAGTATGGGTAGGCTACAGTATTGCTCTGCGATAGGAGCGTGACATCATTGCCTATTTAATCTCAGAGCCTATACCAAGGCAGGACATAGAAACCCAATAATCTCTTGATAAACTAAATGTTGAACAACAATTAGTATTTTGCATGCCGTGGCCTAATGCCAATAGTTCCAAATTAGCCATATACAGCAAATAAAGGGCATTATTGTCACCATAAAAGGTGAATGGAGGGCGCTTTCCAGAGTTTTAATGCTGGTTCACACGTGCACAGTTTTACGACAGGTCTGATTTATAACTGGAAACATGTGAATGTATGGTGTGATCCAAGTTTATAAATCTCAATATTTTTGTACGTACGCAGACTCAGAAATGGCGAACACAGAAATGTTGTGTGAAATTTACTCAACGGTTATAAATGAGGCCCCTGGTCTCCGGTTGAGTAGTGGGGTCCAGTGACTGTGCCGTCCTGTGGTTGATGGCTGACCATGGTCATGTGGTGGATAGTTCGTCCCTTTCCTATAATTAGGGACCGGTGTTTAAACCCCCCTCCTCCTCCCCCCCCTCCTCTCTCCCCTTCTGGCCCGGTCAGGTGGTCTGGGCTCTCCTCTGCTCTGTCTTTAACGATTTGTCAGGAATCTTTGCCAGAGATGTGGTCTATAAATATCAGGAGCGAGCGGCTGAGTTCCTCTCTCTCTCTCTCTCTCTCTCTCTCTCGCTCTCTCTCTCTCTCTCTCTCTCTCTCTCTCTCTCTCTCTCACTCTCTCTCTCTCTGCCCCCTGATGTTTCTCTACCTCTTTCTCTCTCCTTAACTCTCTCGCTCTCACTTTCTTTTTCCGTCGCTCTCTCTCTCTCAATTCAATTGAATTCAATTTAAGGGCTTTATTGGCCTGGGAAACATATGTTAACATTGCCAAAGCAAGTGTAATAGATAATAAACAAAAGTGAAATAAACAATAAAAAGTAACAGTTAACATTACTCTCACAAAAGTTCCAAAATAATAAAGACATTTCAAATATCATATTATGTGCAAATAGTTAAAGTACAAAAGGGAAAATAAATAAAAATAAATATGGGTTGTATTTACAATGGTGTTTGTTCTTCACTGGTTGCCCATTTCTTGTGGCAACAGGTCACAAATATTGCTGCTGTGATGGCACATTGTGGTATTTCACCCAATAGATATGGGAGTTTATCAAAATTGAGTTTGTTTTCAAACTCTTTGTGGATCTGTGTAATCTGAGGGAAATATGTGTCTCTAATATGGTCATACATTTGGCAGGAGGTTAGGAAGTGCAGCTCAGTTTCCACCTCATTTTGTGGGCAGTGTGCACATAGCCTGTCTTCTCTTGAGAGCCAGGTCTGCCTACGGTGGCCTTTCTCAATAGCAAGGCTATGCTCACTGAGTCTGTACATAGTCAAAGCTTTCCTTAAGTTTGGGTCAGTCACAATGGTCAGGTATTCTGCCACTGTGTACTCTCTGTTTAGGGCCACATAGCATTCTAGTTTGCTCTGTTTTTTTGTTAATTCTTTCCAATGTGTCAAGTAATTATAATGTTTTATTCTCATGATTTGGTTGGGTCTAATTGTGTTGCTGTCCTGGGGCTCTGTGGGGTCTGTTTGTGTTTGTGAACAGAGCCCCAGGACCAGCTTGCTTAGGGGACTCTTCTCCAGGTTCATCTCTCTGTAGGTGATGGCTTTGTTATGGAAGGTTTGGGAATAGCTTCCTTTTAGGTGGTTGTAGAATTTAACGGCACTTTTCTGGATTTTGATAATTGGCGGGTATCGGCCTAATTCTGCTCTGCATGCATTATTTGGTGTTTTACATTGTGCACAGAGGATTTTTTTTGCAGAATTCTGCATCTCTCTCTCTCTCTCTCTCTCTCTCTGGCTGTGAGCCTGCTCTGCTCTGTATATGTTTGTAGATGTGTATGTGAAAACTCAGATAGCATCCGAAAGCACCATAATCTCAGCAAAGATTTTCCTCGAGCTAATATAATGGTGTTCCGTCTCCTTTTTTAAATGTTATTTTTTATTACCTCCTTTTTCTCCCCAATTTCGTGATATCCAATTGCAATCTTGTCTGATCGCTGCAACTCCCCAAAAGGCTCAGGAGAGGCGAAGGTCGAGTCATGCGTCCTCCGAAAAATGACCCGCCAAACCGCGCTACTTAACACCTGCTCGCTTAACTCGGAAGCCAGCTGCACCAATGTGTCAGAAGAAACACCGCTCAACCGAAGTCAGCCTGCAGGTGTCCGGCCCGCCACAAGGAGTCACTAGAGCACAATGAGCCAAGTAAAGCCCCCTGGCCAAACCCTCCCCTAAACCGGACGACACTGGGCCAATTGTGCGCCGCCCTATGAGACTCCCGGTCACGGACGGTTGTGACACAGCCTGGGCTCGAACCGGGTCTGTAGTGACGCTTCAAGCACTGCGATGCAGTGCCTTAGACCCCTGCACGACTCGGGAGGCCCACGTGTTCCGTCTCCTTACCAATACACAGACCATACTCTATTACAATCTAAAAACACACATTCACCCTCAAGCTTTTTGGACTTCTCTAAACCATGACATAATTTCCTGTTGTTTTGACAGATAACGCTGGCAGGGAGCAGGTGGGGGTGGGGGAAGAGTGGCGTGCCAACGTCACCATGATGACGACCATGGCGGCGGGTGTGGTTGTTGTGGAAGGCAGAGGCGGCGGACACCGAGGGCCGATAGAGGCCAAACCGCCGCTGCACACCAAGCTGGATGTGATCCAGAAGGAGCAGAATAAGAAGAGCCAGAGCTACAAGGTGGAGTCAGAATCTGGGGGAGTCAAAACCAACATGCCCAGCTTCTCCCTGGAGGACAAGAGGGAGACCGAGTATGTAAGTAATGACTCTGTCTAGCGCCATGGATATAGACACTTAACTAATACCTACCACCCCTATCTCTCACATACTGTACAAATGACCTTCCCCACACATACAGAGACCCACCTGTATACTGACACACAAAGACCCACCCCCTCCCCTCACCTGTTTACTGACACACACAGATCCACCCCCTCCCCACACCTGTTTACTGACACACACAGATCCACCCCCTCCCCTCACCTGTTTACTGACACACACAGATCCACCCCCTCCCCACACCTGTTTACTGACACACACAGATCCACCCCCTCCCCACACCTGTTTACTGACACACACAGATCCACCCCTCCCCTCACCTGTTTACTGACACACACAGACCCACCCCCTCCCCTCACCTGTTTACTGACACACTCATGTTAGTACTGTGTTACTACAGTGTTAGTACTGTGTTAGTATGGTGTTAGTACAGTTCTATTGAGGTGTTGTGTGCTGTGTATGCAGGGACCATGCAGGCGAGAGATGGAGAGCATTCTGAACAGTCTTAAAATCTCCAATGTGCTCAACCCCAGAGGCTTCCGCATCCCCAACTGCGACAAAAAAGGCTTCTACAAGAAAAAACAGGTGAGTCTCACTCTGCTTAAGGGTATTGTACACACACACACACACACACACACACACACACACACACACACACACTCACTCACTCACTCACTCACTCACTCACTCACTCACTAAACAGGCTTCTGAAAGAATCCTCGCCCAGGCCCCCCACGGCATTCTTTGAGGTTACCATAACAGAAACATCAATAACATTATCAACATAAATAATAACAAGGTATTACAGCGACAACTGCACTCTGCTGACTCACTACACTCTAACCAATTCTGGGTTAAAAACAACTTGAGTAAATATTGGACAGAACACACGCTGGGTTATTTTTGACCCAGCCAGTTGGGTTGTGTTAATAACCCAACAACTTGGGATTACCTAATAATGGGTTAATCAGTTGTTGTTGTTGTTCTTGTTTTTACTCTTATGCTGGGTTGCCCAAGCAGCTGGGTCTTAAATGTTTGATCTTAACATGTGATGACTATACAACAGAACAGATTAACAGGAATTACATTAATGCTCATGGGTGGCTAAAAAGAACTATCTGAAAGCCATGTCCCAACTAAACTACGCCTCCAGTCTTTTGATCTGACCCACTGGATCATATCTCAATAACCCAGCACCAATAACCCAAACGTTTTTAAAGAAAACAATCCAACTAATGACCCAACTCCTGCAATCCAGCAGTTGGGTCAACCAAACAACCCAGCATTTTGTGAGTGTAGGAACCGCAAATGGGTTTGTTAAAGAACATTTTCAAAAAATGTCATCTTCATATTCATAATCTCCAGCACCACCCCAACATCAATATATGTGAAAATGCCGCTATTCTATGTTTTGTAGTAAAAAAGATAGAGGAAGATGTGTTTCCAATGACAACATCAGTATGCATCGTGATTTTAACCAATTATGAGTAGGCATTGCCTACTAATTGCCTACTAATTGTCTACTAATTGGTTGATGATGTCATTGGGAACACTTATCTTCCTCTATATTTCTTACTACAACACATAGAAAGAATTTCTCACATACAGTATGTTGATGTTGGGGTGGTGCTGGAGATTATGAATATTAGGTAGAACATTTTTGAAATGTCCCTTTAAGTGAGTGTGTGTTTGAGAGAGAGCGATAGAGAATGTGAGCGTGGTCTGAGCCTGTGTGTGACACAAGATGTGGTGGAGTAGGAGTGCGGCTGGCATGCATCTGGTGGAGAGGAGAGAGAGCTAGTGTTTTGGTGAGGGTGAAGATGGGTAGGTCTCACCAGAGAACACACAGAAACTACCACTGGTGTTGTTCTTAATGTCTGCGGAGGGACAGACGTTGGCCACCCATGGTCTAGACACCAACAAAGAATAGAGGGTGTAGAAAATATATCCAATATTTGCAGAATGCTGGGTCTGTGTTGGGCATACAATATGCTTAAAAACAATTGTAAATACATTACATTTTATGACAATACATATTATCCATACGGAGAGGATATGATGCAACAGCCTACTGGACGGAGGGAGGGGGGTGGTACACACACACATCAATCCAACCCAGTAAATACCCCTATCATCCCACTTCCCAGGGACGGAAGGTCTAAGAAATGGTCTCTGACGATTCCGAGAAATGGAATGAGTCATATTATAACCCCCCATTAACACCACCGTGACTCAGAGACCATTGGAACCCACCACACGCACATATATACATGTACAGGGGCATACACAAACACACACACTCACACACACACACACATACTGTATATGCAGTGACATGTATAACAGTTGGATATGTGAATTGAATTCGATGCTCAGTATCAGTCTGGTTTGGTTGGAGAGAGTGTGGTTAGATTGGGGCTGTAGCTACTATGGCAGTAACCTACTAGTCAGGGCTCTATGCTGATTTTATTTTACAAGGAGCACGTGTTCCTAAATTGAAAAAGTAAGGAGCACACAAAGAAATTTAGGAGCACAATGAAAGTATTTTGAGGAAGAGTGTTTTTTATGATAAGAAATTACTAAAAGTTGATGAATAAAGTGTTCCATGCTCAATATACTAAACATTTGAGTCACTTAGGTGAGACAAAAATGTTTAGCTGCCCCTTTAATGGGCGGGCCGTTACCGTTGTAACGATGGGACTCGCATATCTGTCTGTTAGTGATGGAAAGTTTGGTTCTTTTTACTGACTCTGATCTTTTTGACTCGTTCAGTCAAAAGAACAAATCTTTAGACTCATTTTGTTCATTTGAGCCAGTAATGCCCAGAGCATGCAGGACCCCCTATCAGCGAACGATGAACTGAAAACTCGAAAGAGTCATGATTCTACAAGCCTTTCATTGACATGTTGTTCACCATAGGGGGCTTATTTGTGCTGTCTTTTGTGACTGAGACTTGTAAAAGTGTGTTTTAAACAATATAGGCCACATTTGGTTATACAAAGCTGTGTCCATCATAATATTCAATGATACATTAATTGCATTCATTCTTGCACCATGTTATCAATGATCAGTTCTAAACATGTATTTTTATTCTCTATGCTGCCTGCAGCGTGACTTAATTTCCTGCATGCATTTATGACAGACAGTTGTTGGTCAGAGCACATCTCTGGAGCCGCTGAGCCAGAGGAGCGTGTATCAGACCTGCTGTAGGACTCATTACGGCCAGCAGGTCAAACGAACAACTAAAACATACGAGTCACTCAGAAAAACGAATCATGACTCTCGAGTCAATACAAATAGTCATTAAAAAGAACAAATCGTTCGGCGAACTGCACATCACTACTGACTGTGAAAGATGAGATTCTCCAATGTCTCTCTTCGCTAGCAGTTGATCAAGCTCAAACTAACATTGAAAAACAACGTAGCGTGTTAACAAAACAATGTAAATAGTCAAGAGGACAAAGTCACTCTTTAGTAGACTTTCGGGTAAATTTGACCAACTTCTATGCCTGTGCGCTGCTTCTAAAAATGAATCTTTCAGCACTTCAGTCACAGTGTGCAAAGCCCCCCAGGCACTGTTGCTGCTCGGGATGGGATAGCTATATTGGATTTGTACTTCTTTATGTGATTAGCTACCAGCTATGAAACAAAATGGCAGAAATACTTTGAAAATAGCCATGGCAGCAATTGTTTTTGCTATAAATCACAACTCGTACATGTGCTCATACTTTACTTTCTCAGTTCAACACAAATCTATTTTTAGGCATAGGTGCTACGAGTACTATGTGGCCTGGTCTCTCTCTGTCTCTCATGGTCTCTCTGTAGCTACTATGGCCTGGTCTCTCTGTCTGTTAACCTTTGTCCTACTAAGATGTTCTCTTAGAAACATGTGTCCCTCAGATGACTGGGTGGGAGTTTATATAAACCTGTAAATGTTAAGTCATGCTCCAGCTCCTGCCCCCCTCAGTGTGGAGAGATAGAGGGGTGCAGTGGAGTAGGGGGCAGGGGAGTAGGGGTAGTGCTAGAGGCACGGGCGAGCAGGCAGGGGTGTTGTGGTATACCCATCGAGGGGAATGTGTGGTCATGGTGTGTTCCAGAGATTTATGACCGGAAAACACAGTGATGAGGAGACCGTTTGAACCGTCTAGACTAGAGTGACAATACTGAGAGAAGGAGAAAGGAGGGAGGGAGGGTTTAGAAAGAGGGGGAAGAGAGGAATGGAGGAATGGAAAGAAGGAAGGAGGGAGGGAGCAGAGTCATGGAAGTCTGTGTGTGTGTGTGTGTGTGTGTGTGTGTGTGTGTGTGTGTGTGTGTGTGTGCGTGTGTGCGTGTATTAGCGGTGTGAGGGTCAGCTGTTTGTTTACCAGCACCCGACCACAATTGCTAATAACCCATCTGCAACCATGTGACTATATGTGATAAAGTGAAAATCTGAGGCCCGCACCCGACCCTAACCCGCTAATATAGAAAATGCGCTGTAGGCTACAGTCAAAGACAGCGGAACAATTTTTTGACAGGGGGTGCAGGATTTATTTTGCCTAATTTAGTTTCTGCTTATAATTTCCGACATTTTGGTAGGCTATTTGTTAGTCAACTTGTCTATAATTAGATACATGTAGTTTCCCTTCTGTCATTATGTTGCCCTAGAAGACTAAATAAACCCTTGCTCAACAGAATAATGTTATAGATTGATAGAATGAATGCTTCAATCTAGTTGACATCGGTAAAGTTTCTCTGTCAACTTCTTTCGCGGAGCAGATGTTTAGGACCAGGGAGAAAATGCAATAACAAAAAAAAAAGTGAATGATTTTCTCTGCAACATTTCAAAATGACATCAGTTTGGCTTGGATACATATTTTATGTGGTTTAAATACTATCAGCTTTTATGATGCTGATAAAGATAGCACCTCTTCAGACGGTATCTAACTGAGCGTTCACATTCTTTCAAGATGCTGAAAGAAAGAAATCATATTTTTCCACTCCTTTTCCCTAGTCATAGATGTATAAAATCGAGCACACCGCCATGCAATCTCCATAGACAAACAATGGCAGTAGAATGGCCTTACTGAAGAGCTCAGCGACTTTCAACATGGCACCGTCATAGGATGCCACCTTTCCAACAAGTCAGTTTGTCATACAGTGGGGAAAAAGTATTTGGTCAGCCACCAATTGTGCAAGTTCTCCCACTTAAAAAGATGAGAGAGGCCTATAATTTTCATCATAGGTACACGTCAACTATGACAGACAAAATGAGGAAAAAAAATCCAGATAATCACATTGTAGGATTTTTTATGAATTTATTTGCAAATTATGGTGGAAAATAAGTATTTGGTCACCTACAAACAAGCAAGATTTCTGGCTCTCACAGACCTGTAACTTCTTCTTTAAGAGGCCACACCTGTGACGAGGTGTGAAAGAAGGAGTCAGGTTGCAGGAGGTAAAATACCGAAGTCCAGAGTTTAATCATTTGCATAAATCAAATGCCCCAAGTGTCAAACGAAAATGTACAAGGGAAAACATCCACCTTGGCAAATACACAGTGAAATGTAGCTCAACCGAGCTACATGCTCTCACAACAAAACTCCGGTGACGGTCAGCGTTGGCCTTCTGACAACGCACGGTGCACTGGAGGCGAACGTGGGCAGCGTCCCAAGTCTCCTCCGCACGCCGAAACCAGTCATCCACCGCGGGAGCCGCGGTCTGGCTCTGGTGCCACGGTGCCAGGAGCAGTTGATACCCCAAAACACATTGGAAGGGTGTTAGGTTAGTGGAGGAGTGGCGGAGAGAGTTCTGAGCATATTCTGCTCATGGCATGGAACACCGACCACTCCCCCGGCCGGTCCTGACAGTAGGTCCGGAAGGAACCTACCCACATCTTGATTCACCCTTTCCACCTGCCCATTGCTCTCGGGTGAATACCAGAGGTCAGGCTGACCGAGACCCCCAGATGTTCCATGAACGCCTTCCAGACTCTAGATGTGAACTGGGGACCTTGGTCGGACACTATATCCTCTGGTACCCCGTAGTGCCGGAAGACGTGAGTAAACAGAGCCTCCGCAGTTTGTAGGGTCGTGGGGAGACCGGGCAGAGGAAGGAGGCGGCAGGACTTTGAAAAGCGGTCCACAACGACCAGGATCGTGGTGTTACCTTGGGAGGGGGGAAGATCAGTGAGAAAATCAATACTCAGGTGAGACCATGGTTGTTGTAGAACTGGTAAAGGTTGTAGCTTACCCGCTGGGAGGTGCCTAGGTGCCTTACTCTGGGCGCACACTGAGCATGAGGAAACATACACCCTCACGTTCTTAGCCAAGGTAGGCCACCAGTACTTCTCGGTCAGGCAGCGCATTGTACGACCGATACCTGGATGACCAGAGGAGGGTGACGTGTGTGCCCAGTAGATCAGACGATCACGGATAAGCGCAGGCACGTACTGCAGCCCAGTTGGACACTGCGGTGGAGATGGATCTGTGCGTAATGCCTGCGCTATATCTGCGTCCATCGCCCATACTACTGGCGCCACAATGCATGAGGCCGGGAGTATGGGGGTGTTGTCTCTGGGCCTATCCTCTGTGTCATACAGCCGAGACAGTGCAATGTCGCCAGTGTCTCCACACCGTCAAAGCTCGGACAACAGCCAACAGCTCCCGATCACCAACGCCGTAGTTCTGCTCCGCCGAGCTGAGCTTCTTAGAAAAGAAGGCACAGGGGCAGAGCTTGGGTGGCATGCCCGAGCGTTGGGATAAGACCGCTCCTATCCCTACCTCGGACGCATCCACCTCCACTACGAACAGTAGTGATGGATCGGGATGAGCCAGTACCGGGGCTGAGGTGAACAGACCCCGCAATCTACTCAATGCCAAATCAGCCTCAGCAGACCAGCGGAGCTGGGACGGCCCACCCTTCAACAAGGAGGTAATGGGAGCTGCGACCTTGCCAAAACCCAGAATAAACCTTTGATAGTAGTTGGCAAAGCCAAGGAAGTGCTGCACCTCCTTTACCGTGGTTGGAGTCGGCCAATTACGCACGGCTGCAATGCGGTCTCCCTCCATCTCCACACCTGTGGTGGTAAAGCGATATCTGAGGAAGGAGATTGACTGCTGGAAAAACTCACACTTCTCTACCATGGCATAAATATCATTTTCCAGCAATCGGACCAGTACTTTGCGAACCAGGGACACATGCTCAGCGCGCGTAGCGGAATAGACCAGGATGTCATCGATGAAAGACCACCACACCACGACCAAGCATGTCCCGAAACACCTCGTTCACAAAGGACTGGAAAACGGATGGAACATTCATCAAACCGTAGGGCATCACCAGGTATTCATAATGCCCCGAGGTTGTGCTGAATGCTGTTTTCCACTCATCCCCTTCCTGAATATGCACCAGGTTGTAGGCACTCCTGAGGTCTAATTTGGTGAAAAAACAGGCCCCATGCATTGACTCAATCACTGAAGGAATGAGGGGTAGAGGATAACTAAATCGTACCGTCACATTATTCATTGGTCGATAATCAATGCACGGGCGTAAACCGCCATCTTTCTTCTTCACAAAGAAGAAACTCGAGGAGGCAGGTGAAGTGGAGGGACGTGTATATACCCCTGGCGCAGGGACTCAGTGATGTATATTTCCATAGCCTCCATTTCAGTCTGCGACAGGGGATACACATGACTCCTGGGAGGTACAGCGTCTACCCGAAGGTTTATCGCACAATCCCCCTCCCGATGAGGAGGACAGCAGATTGTCCAGCCGGATGGCTCCCCGTAGTCCAGCCGGAAAACTCCCCGTAGTTCTCCAATGTGGTACCTCCCTTGTTCCATACCGCATTGGCCCACTCCAGGGCTCTCCCACAAAGGCAGGAAACAAGGACGGATATCTTCTCCCGCCCCGGGGCTCCGGTCTGATGCTGGAGAAATACAACTCCAGTTGGAGAAGGAATCCCTTACATCGCGCTGCAGTCCCGTCAAATGCCGGTGGCCGGGATATCTGGATCCCTCCAGGGGCTGGGGTGTAGGTGGCTGGATCCGGTTGACCAGCTGGTCACGAAAGATCGGATCCTCTCCTCTCCAGGCGTTCAACCACCTGTAGAAGCCGATCCATCGCTTCCCCCAAGCTGGCCAACATCGAGGATTGCTCCTGGACCCTTGCCACAACTCCAGGCATGCGGACTTCTCCTGCTGACTCCATATCAGATTAGGTGAGTGATTCTGTGACGAGGTGTGAAAGAAGGAGTCAGGCGCAGGAGGTAAAATACCGAAGTCCAGAGTTTAATCCGTTTCCATAAATCAAACGCCCCAAGCGTCAAACGAAACTGTACAAGGGAAAACATCCACCTTGGCAAATACACAGTGAACTGTAACTCAACCGAGCTACATGCTCTCACAACAAAACAATCACTCAGAAAGACAAGGGGAACAGAGGGAACACTTATACACATACTAATTAGGGGAATGAGCACCAGGTGTGTGTGATTGACAAGATATGACAAGTGGAGTGATGAGAATGGAATCGGAAGTAGCTAGTACTCCAGTGACGACGAACGCCGAAGCCTGCCCGAACCAGGAGGGGGGGGCAGCCTCGGCAGAAGTCGTGACAACACCAAGCTCACAGAACGGGAACGCCGAGTGCTGAAGCGCGTAGTGTGTAAAAATCATCTGTACTTGGTTGCAACTCTCACTACCGAGTTCCAAACTGCCTCTGGAAGCAACGTCAGCACAATAACTGTTAGTCGGGAGCTTCATGAAATGGGTTTCTATGGCGGAGCAACCGCACACAAGCCTAAGATCACCATGCACAATGACCAGGATTGTCTGGAGTGGTGTAAAGCTCGCCGCCATCAGACTCTGGAGCAGTGTAAACGCGTTCTCTGGAGTGATGAATAACGCTTCACCATCTGGCAGTCTGACGGACTAATCTGGGTTTGCCGGATGCCAGGAGAACGCTACCTGCCCCAATGCATAGTGCCAACTGTAAAGTTTGGTGGGGGAAGAATAATGGTTTGGGGCTATTTTTCATGGTTCTGGCTAGGCCCCTTAGTTCCAGTGAAGGGAAATCTTAACGCTACAGCATACAATGACATTCTAGATGATTCTGTGCTTCCAACTTTGTGGCAACAGTAAGGGTAAGGCACTTTCCTGTTTCAGCATGACAATGCCCCCATGCACAGTGTGAGGTCCATACAGAAATAGTTTGTCGAGGTCGGTGTGGAAGAACTTGACTAGCCTGCACAGAGCCCTGACCTCAACCCCATCGATCACCTTTGGGATGAATTGGAATGCCGACTGGCTGAATGGAAGCAAGTCCTCGCAGCAATGTTCCAACATCTAGTGGATCTAGTTATAGCAGCAAAGGGGGGACCAACTCCATATTAATGCCCATGATTTTGGAATGAGATGTTCGACGAGCAGGTATCCACATACCTTTGGTCAAATAGTTTACATTTATGGATTTTTTAAATGTATTGTTTTCTTTTTATTCAACCCGCCCACTACCCACCTACCCCTCTTCCACACAATGTTTAATTACGCTAAACCCATCCACCAGCGGATATAACCTCGGGGACTGCGGGTTATGAGTCAACCTGTGCCTCACTAGCGTGTGTTTGTGTGTGCGTGTGACAAAGCTTAAGCTAGGGTAGCCATACCTGTAAAGGCTACAGTGAAGTCTAAATTTAGCTGCATTGGTTCAATGTCGAAGAGCAAGCATGAATAGCCCTGTCCCTTCAATGACTCACCCCTCTAATCTTTCTCTCTCTCTCTCTCTCTCTCTCTCTCTCTCTCTCTCTCTCTCTCTCTCTCTCTCTCTCTCTCTCTCTCTCTCCCTCTCTCTCTCTACCAGTCCTTTCCCTCTCTCTCTATGCCTCCCTTTCTTCTTTTCCACTCCTCTCCCGTCTATCCAATCACCTCTACCCAGTAAGTTACTGTCATTTATTTTACAGTACAGCTACTGTAATCCATTTTACATTACCAACATGTTTACTGTAATATAATTTACCAGTACCAATTACAATTACAGCATAGTACTGTAATTACCTAGTGACATATTACCCACACTGTAAAACAGCCACTCAACGATTAAAGGTTTGATATTTGCTGCCACTCTGATCTGTCCCCTTTAATTGTTAGGGAACCACTACCACATATCAATTAAATTCATACAACACAAGTCCACCTCTGGATACTTTGACCAAATTGACAGAACCCAACTCCTTCTTTACCCAGCCTGATACCACAAACGGATCAGCCAAAAGGCATGGATTCACTTTCTCCAGAAACAACAATACCATGCACCTGCTAGAGTTGAAAAGATTTCGGTGCTCCAAAAAAATGCAGTTTGGAACTGTATTATGAATTAGATTAATTCACTGGCAGTAATTCGACAGTAAATTACTGCAGATTTTGAGGACCAAGTTCTTAGAATTCTTAAAATACAGTATATTACTGTATTCTATTAGGGTACAGTATTCTTACTCACGGGTGTGACAAATATAGCCACTTACAAGGCACGCCTCAAGATATGTTAATGAGCCAGAGACTCTTTCCCTACCCACAATATTTTCCCACAACTACATTTTACATTTTAGTAATTTAGCAGACACTCTTATCCAGAGCGACTTACAGTTAGTGAGTGCATACATTTTCATAGTGGCCCCCCGTGGGAAACGAACCCACAACCCTGGCGTTGCAAGCGCCATGCTCTACCAACTGAGCTACACGGGACCATCATTAATTCTGTAAAGCACATTTAATAATAATACAACTTTATTAAATGTTTATAAGGTATTTTACTGTGCAGTATAGCGTTTTTTTTACTGTTGAAATTACAGAAAAGTCTTACAGTGTGCTGTAACACACATTTATGGTATTTTTCTGTGTATTCTACAGTGCTTTACAGTTGAAATTACAGAAACGTCTTACAGTGCAGACTGTAAGGGCTGACTCATTGAGCATGACACAGAATGCATTTTGGGAGCATACTCTGTCACTGGCCACAATTACTTTATAATGACTGACTACCCCTCAGGGACAGAGACAGCTATTTTTTCAACCTGCCTCTCCCTCCGTTTCTTCCTCCGTTTCTCTCTCCCTCCATTTCTCTCTCTCCCTCTTTTCCTATCTCTCCCCCTGTTTCTCTCTCACCCTCCGGTTCTCTGAGGGGAAGGCAGGGAATACATTTTTAGCCAGTTTGGCCTGTGATAACCCCTCTTTCTCGCGATCTCTTTTCCTCTCCGTTTGATTGCCTGCAGCATACCCTTGTCCTCCAATCCCTCCTTTATATTTCTTGGTGGTGATTTAATTTGACTACATATCCATAACGCATTCATTACACATCTATAAGCATTTCATGAATGTGTTATAACAATTCCTAACCACATTATTAAAGTTTAATGAAATATATCTATAGCATATCTATAGTGCATTCAAGCAAGAGCTCATGTTTAGCTATCTTAATAGATGCATCATTACAATTACATCTTAGTGTCGTCATTATGGCTTTTCTAAAAAAAAATGTGCTTCTGCCATACCAGTGTTAGTGTGGTTCTGCCAAACCACGTTTAGAAAATGATGCTGATATGTAACCTGTACTACCCCCATTTCCCCCACTGGCCAGTGTAGGCCCGTGATTTAACTTTTTCTTCTCACTGAGGTCAATGGGGATCCCCACAGGGTTGAATCTTCAGGGTAAATGTTACGGATCAAATCGTGTAGTTGAGAGTCATAACTCTTTCGTAACTCACTCAGAGCCCTCCACATCAGAATTAAGTTGGTCATACTGGTCTATAACGCACACGTGAAGGGTCTATTTATGAATTATATGAAGTCAAAGTAAAGTTAAATCTATTTTCCCATTAATGAAGCATTTATAGCTAAGGACGTCGTGCAGTTTGCCACTCTGATCTAGCTATAACGCCAACATTAAAGGTCTATATATGAATTATATGTAGTCAATGTACTGTCATTTCCATTTTCCCATTCATAAAGCATTCATAAAGCATTTATAAAGCATTTATAAAGCATTCAAAAAGCATTTATAAAGCATTTATAAACATGCCTCGCTTATCAAAAACAATACGGACACAACACAGAATGTTAAAGGAAATCGATTTTCCAGATGTAGCCTAGCACAGAAAACAATTGCTGAGGACATCGCTGAAGAATCCTACTATTTCCATTTTTCATTTTGACTTTTCTTATATAGATTTAACAAATATTCATATTAAAAGCATTTTTAATTAAATTCCCAATTTCAGACTCGTAACAATAACTATTTAACCCTCCCGTTGTCCTAGGGTAAAAATGACCCGCCACTGTGTTGAACCAACTTTATTTAATTTTTATATTTTTTGGATCATTTGTGAGAAGGAGGCAGTGATACTTTCTTTAAAGTCTCACTGCCTCCTTCTCACAAATGATCCCCAAACAACTATACCGTTGCTAATAGCTACTCGCCAGCTAGTCCAGGTGGTGAGTTAGCTAGCTAGCTAGCTTCGTGCTACACCCGGCACCGCCGAATACAATACTTAACCTACAATAATTACATACAATAACTACCTACAACAACCCACGATACCTACCTACAATACCTAACTATACACATCCGTCAGTGCTGCTGTGAACCGCATCACAAAATACATGCCAAATGGTAGATGTATATATATTAAATAAAATACCTCTAATTGAAGCAATTTTGATGTTTTTTGAGTTGCTTTGTGTATCACAAAATTTGGTTGAGATGAATTTACTGCAACACTGCTCTCTGAATCCAAGTTGCTTGATGTAGGCGTTACAAAGACCTGTCAGTCAAGTCGGGCTCATGAATATAAACTCCCCACCCACTCAGCCTGAACTCTATTTTACGGTTAGAGTTCATATAAGGTAATCAATTTAAATTAATTAGGCCCTAATCTATGGATTTCACATGACTGGGAATACAGATATGCATCTTTGGTCACAGATACCTTACAAAAAAGGTAGGGGCGTGGATCAGAAAACCAGTCATTATCTGGTGTGACCACCATTTGCCTCATGCAGCGCGACACATCTCCTTCGCATAGAGTTAATCAGGCTGTTGATTGTGGCCTGTGGGATGTTGTCCCACTGCTCTTCAATGGCTGTGCGAAGTTGCTGGATATTGGCGGGAACTGGAACACGCTGTCGTACACGTTGATCCAGAGTATCCCAAACATGCTCAATGGGGAACATGTCTGGTGAGTATGCAGGCCGTGGAAGAACTGGGACATTTTCAGCTTCCAGGAATTGTTTACAGATCCTTGTGACATGGGGCTGTGCATTATCATGCTAAAACATGATATGATGGCAACGGATGAATGGGCCTCAGGATCTCGTCACGGTATCTCAGTGCATTCAAAAAGATCAAATGCAATTCTGCTCGCTGTCCGTAGTTTATGCCTGCCCATACCATAATCCCACTGCCACCATGGGGCACTCTGTTCACAACTTTGACATCAGCAAACCGCTCGCCCACATGACGCCATACTGTCTGCCCGGTACAGTTGAAACTGAGATTCATCCCTGAAGAGTACACTCCTCCAGCGTGCCAGTGGTCATCTGCTCCTTCTGAAGTCTGTTACGACACCAGACTGCAGTCAGGTTAAGACCCTGGTGAGGATAACAAGCACGCAGATGAGCTTCCCTGAGACAGTTTCTGACAGTTTGTGCAGAAATTCTTCGATTGTGCAAGCCACAGTTTCAAAATCAAGTCAAATGTTATTTGTCATTAAGAAAATATTTACTAAATAAACTAAAGCAAAAAAATATATAAAACAGTATCACAATAAAATAATAATAACGAGTCTATATACAGTTGAAGTCAGAAGTTTACATACACCTTAGCCAAATACATTTAAACTAAGCTTATCATAATAATTCCTGAAATTTAATCCTAGTAAAAATTCCCTGTCTTAGGTCAGCTAGGATCACCACTTTATTTTAAGAATGTGAAATGTCAGAATAATAGTAGAGAGAATGATTTATTTCAGCTTTTATTACTTTCATCACATTCCCAGTGGGTCAGAAGTTTACATACACTCAATTAGTATTCGGTAGCATTGCCTTTAAATTGTTTAACTTGGGTCAAACGTTTCAGGTAGCCTTCCACAAGCTTCCCACAATAACCTGGGTGAATTTTGGCCCATTCCGCCTGACAGAGCTGGTGTAACTGAGTCAGGTTTGTAGGCCTCCTTGCTCACACACGCTTTTTCAGTTCTGCCACAAATGTTCTATAGGATTGAGGTCAGGGCTTTGTGATGGCCACTCCAATACCTTGACTTTGTTGTCCTTAAGCCATTTTGCCACAACTTTGTTAGTATGCTTGGGGTCATTGGCCTCTGACCGCAAGGCACTACAGAGGGTAGTGCGTACGGCCCAGTACATCACTGGGGCAAAGCTCCCTGCCATCCAGGACCTCTATACCAGGCGGTGTCAGAGGACGGCCCTCAAAATTGTCAAAGACTCCAGCCAACCTAGTCATAGACTGTTCTCTCTGCTACCGCACGGCAAGCGGTACCGGAGTGCCAAGTCTAGGTCCAAAAGACTTCTCAACAGCTTCTACCCCCAAGCCATAAGACTCCTGAACAGCTAATCATGGCTACCCGGACTATTTGCACTGCCCCCCCACCCCATCCTTTTTACGCTGCTGCTACTCTGTTAAGTATTTATGCATAGTCACTTTAACTCTACCCACATGTACATATTACCTCAACTACCTCAACTAGCCGGTGCCCCCGCACATTGACTCTGCAACGGTACCCCCCTGTATATATAGCCTCCCTACTGTCACTTTATTTTACTGTATATATAGCCTCCCTACTGTCACTTTATTTTACTTCTGCTCTTTTTTTCTCAACACTTTTTTGTTGTTGTTGTTTTATTCTTACTTTTTTTGTTTAAAATAAATGCACTGTTGGTTAAGGGCTGTAAGTAAGCATTTCA